AAATAAATATTTCCAATTTTATTGCTCACTTTTATGACACAGGTCACCAATTTTTTTCCTTCATTTATTTTTTTACATTTTTCAAAACATTTTTATGATTTTTTTCATTTCATATAATAATTCTTAATCAAATTTATACCTCTACCCATCCACCCCCATAGACCACTCCCACTGAATTTCGTGCATTGAAATATGATCATATCTAACCACTTTTCCCTACCAGCTCCCCTTACATCCCTCCAACATGCCCCACTTCCAACTTAATGCTCTTTTTGTTCATTTAATTTTATAACTTACTAAGTCCAGTTAGTGCTTCCCACCTGTGCATGGGTGTAAGGCCATCCACTGGAGCATGGGAATCCTGCCAGTGACCACACCATAAAAAAAGAATAATTCTCCATTCCCAGACCACTGTCCACTGCAATAGATCCTAGCAGGGGGTGGGCCCTGGAGATTGTGTGCCTGCTCTCTTGAGAATTTTGATTGGTCTGATCTTGTCTTGGTCTTGTATAGGTAACCCCAGCTGCTATGATTCTATGAGTGCAATAGCCATGTCATGTACAGAAGACAGCATTTCACAACATTCCTACCTATCCTCTGACTCTCTCATTTTTTTCACCTCCTCTTCTGAGATGTTCACTGAGCCCTCCGTAGTAGTGAGTGGTGATGGGGTTAAAATAGGTGCCCTGTTCTGGGCTGAGCACTTAGTCTCTTATTTGCAGCAGTTTGACCTATTGTGTCTCTCCATTGACTGCTGACCAGGACAAAATAAGCTTCCTTGACCAAAGTTAAAACAAGCCCACATGCATGAATATAAGAATCAATATTTAGAAGGCAATGAATTTGACAGTATGGCCATTTAGCAGAATAACAACAGCACATTCTACCCTAGGGCTTATGACATTGACAGCTCTTTGATCAGTATTACAATACCAAAAATGAAATTCCTGCCTATGGGGTATGCCTCAGACCCACTCAGAAAGCTGTTAGTTGTCCCATAATAGTTGTACCATTATTGCACTTATAGGCACATCTTGCATAGTAGGTTGGAATTCTAGCATGCAAGGTCCAATACTATGATCATTAATATTTTTTTTCTCCCCCAGCAGCCTGAATAGTTCTTTCTGGCTCTATGGAAGCTAATCAGCAGTGAAGGAGTTTCTGGTTTGGTTTGAGATTTATTTCTAAATGTCCTGCTGCCATAACTCAAGTTACAAAAATGTGAAAGGATAGAACATGTAGGTTCTCTATACGTGGGTAAATTATAACATAGAGAGCATATAGATTCAATGCTAAGCAGATATGCATTTGAAATAGTTCTTTATATTTTCTACTTTTTTGAATGTAGGCCAGTTAAAACAATGAAACCTTTTACTGCTTATTTTTCTAAAAGGGATTGAATTGTCAAATAACTGAATGAACTCATGTAAAGTCATTAAGAAACATATATAGAATGTTTACTGAACATTAGTTATAAAGTTGAAAATTGAGCATCCTAAGAGACAAAAATGTCAAAATACACAAAATGATTAGTTCTATGTCTATAATATAGCAAACTTTAAAATATTACCCTAAATAAGCACACATATGCACATATATGAAATTAGTATAGTCTTTATCTTAAATTAAAAATAAGTTATTGACATTTTTCCTTTTACAATACCCATAATTCATCAGAGTATATTATCTAAGAGGCCCAAGACAATGCAGTCATAGCCTGTTATTATTAAACTTGGATTAAATTCATGTATTATGGAAGGGGTTTTTATACTGAATTCCAGAAATAGTAAACATGAGTGTGCAAAAATAAGCATGTATCATTGCTCATTGATCTCCTTAACATAGACATGTTATCTATGCATCTCATGCTAACTGTACTCCATCTGCGGTAATATAAGCATCTCCAGGTATCTGTATAAACCGGTGTCAAGACACTGTGACATTGTATATTTAACAGAAATCATTAATATGTTAACCTAAATATAAAATATGTACTCTGGACAGTTAGGATTAATTTCTTTGACAGTAGAATTAATGATTGATTAATAATATATAATAGAAACATCTGTGTAAAATTACTGTGTCAAAAAAGAAATAATAGTTATAACAAGTAAAAATGAATATGAAAGGAAAATGATGAAAATATATTAACTAATACAGATTTAAAATCAAATTTAACTTCTATTGTAGCAGTTTCAGTTTATTTTGATATAGTATTATAATAACATAAATAATATATGTCCCTTATAAAGAAGTCAGCAACATACCTTGAAAATAAGAAAAAGCAATGTGTATTATATGACCACCCAGGGAAAGACTACTGCTAAGCTTGATATATTTTATAGCTTTTATTAGAGAAATTACACCTCAGATGATAAAATTATTTTCAATAATGTACCTTGAGGGAAAATTACTTTGGCAAGGGAAGATCATTCAGTCTCAGGTTTGAGTAATTTATAATCAGCAAGGGCAGTGAGCCTAACAAATGTGGCACATGTAATGATTTATTTGGCCTCAGAGAACTTATAGACTCCTGCATGGTCACAACCAATTTCGAACTTCAATAATTATTTCTTAGTTCCTCAAAAGAATAAATGACAGTCTTGTCTATTTATTTAAGCTGGGACTGGTGATAAACAGGTTTGTGGGGAAAGGAAAGGAGTATTTCAGGGGACTGAGGGTAGAGATAAAGGATGGACTCATTCTTCATAGACAACACCAGCTATACATGTATTCTAAAGTGACTATCCTCTGACAATTGGAAAAGCGATCTGTGACTGCCAAGTGCACTCAAGAGAACACAGAACTTGAATATACACAATTTCATTTAAAAAGTATTTGGATAATGTGTGTGAATATACAATATTTTAAGGAAAAATAGATCAGAAAACTAGTTAGTTATCTATGTGTATTTCTTATCCTTTTTGAACTTACTTATTGTGTGTGTCTTTGTGTGTGTGTCAGTGTGTGGAGGTAAGAGAACAACTTGTGGGAGTTAGTTTCCTCCTTCTACCACAAGGATTCTGGGCATGGAACTCAAGTCCTTAGGCTTCGTACTGCCAAGAGCCCTTGCCTGCTGAGCCATCCTTCTGGCCCAGTATACCTGTATTTCTAAAATTTATCATGTAAAAAGTAAGCTTATAAAGATTCAGAAGATAGGATAAACTCAGTAATTATCTCAGCAGTTAAAACATTTGCCATTCAAACATCATTTGTGAGGACTGGAATTAGGATTCTTAGAACACATGCAATTTCAATGCCCAGTGGGTTTGGCAGCCTGGCAGGCCTGTAATTCCAGTTCTCAGAGATGGAAACAGGATCCCCAGAGCAAGCTGGTTAGCCAGACTAGCCATTTTGACACTCTCTGGTCTCAAATGAGAGACCCTGCCTCAAACATGATGGGGCGTGATAGAGGAACACTAACCATATCTAGGACTTCTGTGCATGCACATGTTACATGGACAAATGTATGCAACTATACACATGCTAACATACATGCATACCCATGATTACCACACACATATACATAAAAATGAAAACTACATAGCATATAACATATTGCAGTAAGAGAGAGGCAAATCATTTTAACTAATATCTGAGATAGACTACTTTCATCATGAAATAAATTAATGAAATAAACCAGATAGTTTTGTAATTATATCTTAGTACATATCTCCTTATGGCAACAATAAAAAGTTAGGAGATTGTATAGCAAAAAGATGACTAGCCTGTTAAAAATTTATTTTTATTTTATGTTTATGAGTGTTTGTCTACATGTACATACGTGCACCTGTGCATGCAATGCCCATGGAGGCCAGAAAAAGGCGTCAGATTCCTTACAGCTTGAGTTACTGGCTGTTGTTAGCCAACATGTGGGTGTTGAATCTGAACGTGCGTCCTTGAGAAGAGTAGATAGTGCTCTTAACTGCTGTGCTGCATCTCTCCATAACCTGTTTTACTTTGCATTTACAGTAATAGCTTCAAAGCATTTTCATATGAAGTACTCAAATTAGGAAAAGTGTAAATAGAAACAACAAAGCTAAGGCATGAATTGCAGCTTTGTTTAAGTGAGCTCAACATGAGTGAAAGCTTCTGTGTGCTTTGTTCATTCAAAATGCCTCCAAAACTAGGCACTCACTTGTCCTATGGCTGGTAAATATTAGTTGAGGTAATGCTTCTGTAATACTTTTGTAACTATTACTAAATCACTGCTTTTTCTCAGGGTAATAAATATTAACATATGTCTTCTTGTTTCTGTAAGTTAAAGGAGTCTTTAACTTTGCCTTTATGAGGGGCAGAGTTTTTCATTGATGTCGAATAACATGTCGGGCTGATGTTATTTCACTGCACTCTGTTATCAAATTCAAGTTAATAGAGTTTGTAGAGATAGTAATAAAAAGTGTGGAGTAACTAACTGACCATTTTCTGATTGCAAGCATGGCTGCGGGAATTTTGTCCGTGTGATTCAGACCTTCAACCGTACGCACTTGTACGTCTGTGGGAGCGGAGCGTTCAGCCCCGTGTGCACTTACCTGAACAGGGGAAGGAGATCTGAGGTAAGCCTGACATTTAATTTTTTCAATTTTGTTAGGATAATGTCAGAAACTTAATGGTATTTAAGTAAAAACTTGAGAAAATCAGTGACAATATTTTCAATTTTTGAAACACAAGATGTATTTCATTTTGATTTTTATCTGCCAAAGTAGCTCAGTTCTACTTTTTTAGCCTTCAAATTAATTATATGTTGTTTCCAAATATAAAAATAGTAAAATAAAGGAAAATTATAATTTTATGATTAATTTAAATGTAAAACACTAAATTATAAAAACATTGTATTTAAAATTACTTCCATAAATTATCATTATCTTCCATAAATTATCATTAATTCTTGATTATCTTTCAAGTTCAGTATACATTTATGTAACATATGCTTTAAGATATGCTTAAAACAGGATACTACATGTTTTGTTGAAAAATAACTATAAATTATTCAACTGTGCTTTCATTTAAGACCAACATCAGCCTACACCAGATCATCTCACCGTTTTCTTTTATGGGTTAAAATGATATGGGTTATTATGGTCTGCTGCTTGCTAAGTATTAGTCAAGCAGGTAGCTGACATATAGTCAAACACAAAGCTGGTTTAATTTTAACTGTAATATAGAGGATGGGCTTGTTCTCTCAGTCCACAGCTATTGATAAAGCCATGCAGAGGACCTAAGGAGCTTTTTCCCATTCTCATTTTATTATTCACTTCCATTATTTCACCTAACAATTATTTTTAAACCTGGATCATTTGAAACTATATCCAGTTCCTTATGTAACTTAAATTTAGGAAGTCCAGTTCTTTAGAAATGTCTTAATTCACTTTAAAGAGGACAATTGTGAATAAAATCAATAGTGCTACTAATATACTTTATAAAGTTTACTATTCTTTAATAAGAACTGATCTACTTTAATACTAATGTAGTTGGATAAAGAGTCCTCTGAATTCTTATTTGAGGAACTGCATTTTATATGTTTAATCCATACACATATATTAATGAATAAAATGTTGTTAAAGAACAATTGAACATTATTGAAGCTAAGATTGAGTTTTTTCCAAAAGAGGCTAAAAACACTATTGAAATATTAACCAGGAAAGCTTTGCTTCTTGGGAAAATACAGTGGGAAGCAGTGAGCTGGTCATTTGGACTCCAAGCCTGTGATCAGCTGATTAAATAAACTAATGCTGCATAGGCCTGCAATCTGCCACCATTCCCTGGAGTCTGCATAGCCACTATGAAAAGCCAACAATAGTTTGGCAGTTTTCAGAACACAGATTTCAAATAAAATCATTTTCCCATCTACAAATTATCCACCATGCTCGTGAAGCCTGTTAATGAGAAAGTCTGTCCAAAAATAATCTCCTTTGGAAAAGCAGCACGGAATACTTGTGATTAAAAGTATTGAGAAGCAGGGATCATACCAGTCTCACTTCAAAGATGTGCTTAAGGCACTCCCAGGAATTTAGTCTTTTAAATAAGTGAATACCTTAGGAAATAATTTAAGTCTGAAAGAATAAAGTCTGAAAGAATTACCACATGGATACCCTCCATGCTGTTTTGTTTGCCTTGATAATTAACACTAGCTAAAGGACTTAAGCATCATTTTTTTCTGCATCTGTAGCATATAGATCATAGTATAGACATTGAATATTCCTTTTATTATTTTAGTTTAAGATAAAGGATCCACTAGCATAAAATGATCATGTGATGAAAAGTTTTATTTTGTGAAAAAATCCTCCTCTTTCAAGTATATTTTGTAGGGACCAGAACATAGTATCTACTGCTAACACCCTGCATCA